ACGTTTATGCTTACAGGCTTGGTAGTGGCAATTCCTGCTGCTGCAAGATCAAGTATGATTTAATACAAAAAGAAAAACAAGTCTGTAGGCTGAAGACATAGTCACATAATTTAGAGATAATTGCATTTGTCAAACAAGCCAGTGGGCTTTGTGGTAAAACAAACCAGAATTTGATTACTTACTATTACTAAATGTAACATAACCTTGTTTAGGAAGGAGATAGCCTCTCTGTAATGCTTTGCTAGAGCTAAATAAATTGAAATGCTACTGTTACTCCTATGGCCATGCCATTTAATTTACAATCCACTTCCACACTAGCTATTTTAAGCATAATTGTATAGCATGCTATATTAATTAATTGTATAACATGCTACATCAGTTGATTTTATAGAAGAATGAAACTACCTGCAGCTGTTATGTCATGGGGGGGTTGGTAATGGTTGTCTTCTGGGATTCTTTTCAACTCTTGTTTTCAGATCAGTAATGGCAGCAGTCTTTGATTTAGATCAAAGCAAGAACAAAAGCATCTTAGGAGCAAGTGAGAGTCAGAAGGTGAAATGAAGAGGAAAAAAAGTAATAAAATCCCATACCATAGCCTAGAACCAGAGTACTAAAATGAGGAAACCAACTTTATACAGCTATAGCTACAATATTATTTTAGTGTAATTTACTTCTAAGTATGAGACCAAACCTTCAGAAGCTTGGATATCACATTTTCTCCCTTGATTACAAACCAGTGAATCTTATCTTGCCTGTACAGGTGTTGAATTTTTTCTTTCTCAGCCTATATTCACTTACAGTCATTAAAGATCTAGGGCACTTAGTGTAGATATTAAAGATGATATATGAAGCCTGACAAATTTAATCTTGGGTAATTACACTCTACCTAGCTCTTCTAACTAGCAAAAGTTTCCTTGCAATTTCGGTTGGATAAAAAATCTGCTAGTGCAATATTGTGCTCTTTAGTAGCTGCAGCACTGATGAGATGAACAAAGTGATTCCATACATTAGTCTCATTTTTCTAAGCATTTCATGAAAATTACATGATGTTCTGTGGCTAGCTGTAGCAACCTACACAGGAGATGTTGCATTCAGAAAATAAGAATTCTTCTACCCTGAGAATAATTCTGGAAAGGATGTGTGAAAATTAATTGCTTCTCCTGGTTCTCTAAATGCTTTCTAGTAGACATAGTTTTCTTCTGCAGATCTAAGATAGAAACTTTTCTATGTAGAAAACTGTAGATTATTGCCTGTGAATAGATTTCTTACTGGCTAACTAATAGGAGGATTAAGTTCATTACCCGTCAGGTAACTTTTCTAATAAGCTTGGATCTGGCATGCACAAGAAGCTGAAGCTTGGTAGTTCATCTGACCTGTACATAGGTGCCCTTTACTGTGTGTTTGACAATGTCTTTCTCTTCTGGCTGACTGGCATTTCCCTCTGGAAAAAGAGAGTACAGAAAGAAGGGCAGCTAATTAATACTTCCAAATTTTGTTTCTATTTCTAACTCATCAGCAGTTTCCCTTTTCAGCTACATTGGGGGAAAATATCAAATAGAGTCTAATGAACGATTACTGCTAGCCAATTAAGACTTCCTCCCCTCCCCCCCCCAATTAGTTACAACACTGGGCAGACCTCGTCACTTACGAAAGCAGTATAATGCAAGTCAATTAATGAATAATAATACATCCTTGCCTTGAAGACTGTTCCGTTTTCATCAGCCCCATTCCACATTAGCCAACAGCAAATCCAGAATATCTGCATGGAAGAGAAATGAAAATCATTATAAATATGAAGAGATTTCTCTTTGAGAAAAGCCTGAAAAGACCAATACTGTTTACAAGCAGGTAGTAAAAACAAAATATAGTGGAAAGACATAAACACTTCAATGTATTTGGGATCAGGTAGGCATTCATATTTCTGTACTCTCATGTACAAAAGTCAGAAGAAGTCGAAAAGGGGAAGAGTTTATAAATTACAGTGAAAACTTCTTGTAAGCATTAAAATAAAAATAAGTAAAATAAAAATTCTTTATGAAAACAAAGCAATTAAAAGAAAGATACACACTTCATTTTATTGTGCTAATTACAGTGACAGGTTATAGGTAAAAACTAAGATTTTACTGGAATTAAACTAGTTTACCAATGTATATAAAAGAATTATGATAATACCAGATAATTTTGAAAGAACTGTGTAATCATAGGGAAATTTTATATCCTAATACACTAATCACAGAATTATTATTTAGCTATTTTTAGGATTTCAGAACTGTTTATTCCTTAATTGTTCAATTTGTAGCATCCTACATGTTACTCTCAAGTACTTGCTACTTCTTGTGATGTGTTAAATTAGGTGGAATATTGTTTGGTTTGAAATGGCAGATCTTATCTGCTTTTAGTCAACTTTGAAATTATTAAAATTCAATTTCCTGTATCTAAACTTTATAAATAATATTTCTGAGTGTTTTTTCTTCTTCCAAAAAGTAGGGGAAATTTGTAGGTATTCTACAAGCATACAGCAATCAGATCTAAAATTTACTTTATACGTAATACACTGTCATATTTAAGGTGTCTTTTTTTAATATTAATTGCATTCCATACATAAATCATTCTATTTACAATGGTTAGAGTAGCCAGTAATTACTTGGGATTGTTTGTGGAAAAAATTAAGGACTCCAGAGTGGGTCTGTTCTTAAGAGTCCTCTAATTTTGGCAGATCTGCTCTGTCCAGTTCAGAACTCACTTAGGTTCTGTGCTTCTAGAGGTAAGATGTATCTACTACAGCACTTCAACACAGGTTTCTGTTGTCTGTTTACTTAGGAGAGAAAAACTTGTACTTCTTTTTATGCTTGCACAGCTAATCACCAGGGGGAAGGAATTAGCAGGAAGAAGTCCATGGCCGTGAACTCCTCCACTCCATCCTTTGCGGAACGCCACGCCTTGCCTTGCATCCCCACCCGCTGCAGCCTTGTGCTGCACTAGGTACTCCCCTTACTTTGCGGAGGGGCAATTCAGCCTAATGCTGGGGTTTTGTGTGCATGTTTATTGCTAATTCAGGAGTGCTCTGTATTGGAGTTTAGTACTAACGTGGTTATGCTCTCCCATAATTAACGGTTCAGCAAACCCACAGCATGATAGCGCCTGAGTTTCCAGCAAACAGCAAAGGTTCTGCTTCAAATCTTTGTGGAGAGGAATTTATGGCCAGTGGAAGGTGCACAGTTTAGATGGGATATCTTCCTAACAATGCTGCCACTTTTTTTTCCCCATGCAACCTACTGAAGAATCAAAAGAAAGTTTATGCAAACTTAAATACATTACTAAATCACCTCCAGAATGCATTGCAATATCAAAAATGAAAGCAGGAATTAGGGAAAGACAATGAGGCAGAACAATGCTTGTATCTTACAAGCTGTTGGCCTCTGGTTTCAGTTCTTCATGTAAAGGATGGCGTTTTCTTTTGTAAGGTTTGATTTGGTTTGATTTATTTTCATTGTGCTTTCCTCTTAAACACCATTTTAGCTCTACAGGTTAATAGGGAAAGGAACTGATGTTCAGAGTGAGAGCATATATAAATAATACAGAACTCATGACATTCTAGTATTAAATACCCAGAAAAGCAAAATCAAAGAATATTGTTGCTTATCTGTTGCCTGGATATAGTGAAAATTAACTGAAGTATACATGCGATTTTTCAATGAACAAAAATATACAGATTCTAGAGTCCTGCCTATATGGAAAACTCTGTGACCCCGATTAGTTATTTTAATTCAATACAGGCAGCCTTCAAAGAAGAACAAAAAAAGCTGATAGTAAGATGGGGATTACTTTTTTCTTTCTCTACCTGGCAGTCCATAAACAATAGATTGTTAATGTTACAATTTGATATTATGCTGATTTAAAATTATAATGGCTTTCTGAACAAAACTAAAAGTTTCTGAGCTTCTCAAAAGTTAGTCAAAGTTGTTTCTAATGGAAAGAGTTAAGCTACCTAAGATGAGTGGTTGATACTGGACATCATTTATGAGATTGTTTTTAGTGTTAGATCATATGTGTTTCTTTAATAATAAGGGTGTCTAAAATTATTTATCTGATACCTCACTTTGTTCTAGTGCCTTGTAGACCAGTGGACAGGATTTAGTTAAATTATTAGGATGGGCACAAGAATAAGCATTTAGGCCTAACCTTATAATATTTATGCATGTGCTGCATAAATGTTGTTCAGAGCCTATTCTTCACACTGAGTATCCTCTTGGTAATCACATTAATAAACACAGGCCAATTAGTTTATACAGACTATCCAATAAATCAGCTGGGATCATAAGCCTCTTTTTTTTTTTTTTGCCCCTGATGCATAGCCTGGGCAAGATCTTCCCAGGAGCCGTGGAAAATGCCTATTTCCCATTCACATATATCAGAGTTTGGGGTTCAGCACTTCTAGCTTCACATCCTTAGACAGAAAAGCACTGTTTTGTTTCTCAGTCAATAAATAATACGTTCTTCCTGGCTATGGAACGGGGGTTTGGGCAGTGCATGTCTCCTTGACAGCCCTATAATTTGCTAGCTGGAGGCACCGATCATGCTGATGTGTATTTCTTTAATTTCCATTCTCATTTCCACTGAAGATTCTAATTAGATTCTGGTGATGCTTAAGAAGAGGAAGGGACAGTGTTTCTCTGAACATTATTCTTTCTAATGCAGAGGGCAGTAGTTTTCTGACGTGCAGCATTTAGCACACGTGAAAACAGATGTCTGGCTGTAGCAAACTGTCTTTTATCAAACTTAACAAAAATTGCGCTAAGAGAAGCTGGGAAGGGCTGCGAAGCTGGGGGAGATTCGCAAAGCCTGGGTCTGGCAGGGCTGGAGCGTGGAGTGCCGGCAGCAGCGTGCTCCCTCGTGCAAGTTTCCAGGGAGCGTTTCTTCTTGGCACTGACACAGCCAAGGCTCCGGCTCCGAGACAGATGTTCCTCCAGCAGCTCTGAAGTAAGGCTGCTCACCGGATACAATGTCATACCCAGGGGTTCATGGTCCACCTCAGCCTTCAAAGAGGACTCGGTACTGATGAAATCGAATGCTTAAAGAAGCATAAGATGCGGGGCTTTGTCTGATATTTTGTCTCAGCCAGAGTGGCCGGTGAATCGCCACAGCTCCGTACAGCGCTGCTTTACACCACTGCAACTTTCTTCAAAGCAAACTCTTGGTAAAATCCTCTAATTTCCCTCTGATTGCGAACTGGTGTGAAGACTGGAATGATTTGCCTGTTGGAAGAATGTTGACTCTCGAGTGGGAGTCGGAGGGACTGCAGACAGTGGGTATTGTTGTGATTATATTTGCATCTCTGAAGCTGCTTCATTTGCTGGGACTGATTGATTTTTCAGAAGGTAAAGTGGTCACTTGCACTTTGTGCTGTTTGTAGGTGTGGTGTCTGATCTGCTAAAATAGACTTAGAGAGCATCAGGTATAAAAGCTGTGAAATGAAAAGGCTTGAAAAGTGAAAATAACATTCAGACTAAAAATCCCAGTTTGCTTCTGCTGGTTTTAGTTTATTGAAAACAGAAGTAGATGCTAGCCTAAGATTTGTATTTTACAATGAATTGCCAAGTGTCTGTGAGTGGATGTTTATTAGAAAGACTGAAAACTGTGAACATAACACCTGTCAGTTGCCTTTGAAAGCTGTTCACTGCTACAAAACTTGATAGATTAAGTGGATCTTCAGTTCATGTTCATAATGCTCTTCTGATACATGATGCATTTAGAGTTTTGTTCTGTATTAGTATATGTGTGTTAAAAATCCATTTCATACATAAATGCAAAACACTTACTACAGGTATAAGCTTTAGGATCGAGTCTGCTTGACACCTTTCAGAAAAGGCATAGATGCCAACATTAAATGTGGGTATTTTAAATATATATAATGAATATATGTTTTAAAATTCCTGTTTGCTTGCTCAGACTCCTGTCTGCTCTCTACTATATGGGTCATATCATTTCATCTGCTCTCAGAGAGGGCTTCACATCTATTTTAATAGGATTTTTATTTCTATACAAAGTGAGGTTTTTTCACGTTTTATAGAAATAGGTTATTTCAGTTATTAACCAGATCTTTTGCTGTCAACTTTTCAACTTTTTAACAAAATGTCTTCTGTGGACTGCTGTAGTAAACAAAAGCTATTCACTCATTGAAGCCCTTGCTCAAAAAATACTGCTTTTGTCAGTATGTTTGTACATGTGAGCCCAAACCAATCCTTTTTGCTCTCTAACTGCTTTCAGTCAGAATCACACAGCCAAGGAGAGCACTCCAGTTTTCTGAAACATTAACTTCTCGTCATGGAATAGGATCTTTGATGTAGGCAGATTCACATCGTAACCTCATAAAATTGTTCAGCTGATAAAATGTGAAATCTTTAACACAGCACTTTCATAGTTACTGAACTATTGAAATACATCATCCTTAAAACCGTATGTGGTGAGAATGTATAATATGTGCCGTGTTACTATATAATGCATTGGTTATGGAATTGTAAAATTACTTTTTGAATTCTAAACGAATGAGTAATTTTTCTCTCATAACAGTGCTCACTTTTTGGTTTTATGCTCTGGAGGTGTAGCATTTTTAACATCTAAAAAATTCTCTTACTAGATAGGTATGTGTTAGTTTCAACTTTATAACACATGGTAACAGATAGAAAAAAAGATTTAAATGCAATATTGGTGTTTTAACAGAGGTACAGTTACATCCCTTTCTTGATTTCTCACAGTATGATACTGCCATTACATCTGTGTGAAACTGTTTCATATAATTTCAACTATATTAAATCACCTTTTAAAAAAAATCCCCCTGGTAGAAATTACACTGATTTTAATATAAATAATAAGTTCAAGACGATATTTCAGTTGAAGTGTAACATTTTGTTTCAATGCACCCGTTAGTGCCATGGCATTTCCTCACATGATAATGTAATAATTCACTCAAAAGTACCTAGCAACATAAAGCTGATCTCTAAATGTAAGAAGATTAAACATTATAAAATATAGTGGCTATGTTTATAACATCCGCAGTGTGAATACCTCCAGTGACTTGGGGGATTTCCAGTTCCCCTAAGGCTGATCTGTGCTATTTAACTCTTCCATGTTTGGGTACTGCCATTACTATTAAACAAGAATTCTGCCCCAAAGGGTTAAGGAATATTTTATAGGGTATTCAGAACTAATGGGGTTTTGTTCTCCTACTGAATGCAAGGACAGGTTTTCTGTTGATGTACAAGGAGGACCATATTTGAATGGCCAGTGTTGATCCTGAAACCAAAATGAGCAATCAACCCTCCCCATCTACCCCATGGAGGCAGGGCATGAGCCATATGATGAAACAAATCTGTTCCCGTAATTAGGCTTTCTGATGCCGTAACATGCTTGTCTTAATATCCCCAATATATTGACTTATTTTGGAAATATCACTGAAAGATAAGGCAGCATGCTTGTCCCGATGTTTGCCATTACAAGACAGAGAAGACACCTAAATGACAAATCCTCAGTTGCAAACTTGTTACGACTCCACTGATTTTAGTGAGGTGGTGGCAATGTGCTATGGCAATTTCTGTCAGCAGAGTGACTTGTCTAAGCCCAAACCAAGAGTCAGCAGCAGATAATGGGAGCAGAATTAAAGTGATCCACAAAAGCATCATGGACTGAGTAACTGGAGTGTTTCCATCCTTCCAGTTTGCTTTTCCTCTCTGTCCAGAGAAGTGTAGAGGTAGCTTCAGCTTCACTACTGGTTCATCTGTTTGTACTGTGAAAATGCAACAGCTTGTTTATTGTTTATTTTTGTAGTTATTTATAATGAGCTATAAAATACTCTGTATCTTGTATTCCAGGCACTTTCAGTATTATTTTTAAAAAGAACAAAGATAAAACAATAGTACGCTCACAGAAAAATTTCTTCTTTAACATATCTACTGGACGTGTTCTACCCAGTACAGCTCTTTCGCCACGCGCAGTGCAAAAATGGACTTTCAGTTGAACAAGCAAAAAGATGAGTCACTGTGCTATGATGGACAACCGCCCTCCTTTACTTTACATAGCAAAGGAGTTACGGTGAAGAAGAGCTTGACTTGCCCTCACTCCTCCATGGGAAAGTAGGAGAATCCATGCAATCTGCTTACTTTTATTACTGTGTTCAACATTTGGCAGGACAGACAACATGATTTGATCCCGTGTCCCAGACTAGGGGCTATGTTCTTCTACTTCATCCATCCTCCATTTTCCAATAAGCAGGAAAGAGAGACCAGAATGAGGAGAAGGCTGGCTCCACTGGAGCCAGCGAGCTATTTCAGTTATAAGGACAGAACTGAATCAATACCACTTTTACTAGAAGAGAATGAAAGTCTCCTTTCCCTCTCTTCCATTACTTTGAAAGTGGTTTGAAGCTGATCAATATCTTCTCTCCAGCTTCCTTGCCTGAAACTTTTGCTGCTGGGCAGCTTCTCTCCAAAGCTTTTCTTCTGTTACTTAGCTGGAAGGGGAGGAGAGGAGGGTGATCAGAACTGAAGCAAAGGATCAGAGCAGCAAAGTAGCAACACCAGGCTTAGAGGGAATTCATCCACCAGAAACTTGGAGGGGAGAGACTGGGGAAATTAAAGATACACTTTGCATTTGTATCTCCAGAACATCTGTCAAGTGGTAGCTATATGGAGACATTATGTAAATATGTGTAAGCAATTCTGTAAACATCGGGGGACTTGCATAAATCAAAGTCTTTAAAAGGACAAACTTCGTGCCTCTTCCTTCATCATGCATTGATTATGTTTTGAAGTATAACATCTCATACAGAAGTGTTTTTCTTTTGCTTGTGAATATAATCAACCAGTGTTGCAACCTATTCTAGACCCTCCTATTCCTCCCCTTTTCCTTCCACTAATTTCTGATAGTTTCTAGAACTTGCTATTATCTTTCAAATGCTTATTCAGATGTAAATTTCATGTCTGATATGTGAATGTCCCACAAACTCAAAATCTTTTGGCTAGTAGGACCCACTGGTCCCTCCACGTCTTTCAACTCTATAGGCCATCAAGGCTATTGTAGGAATATTTGATCCTTAGTTTCTCTTACTGTGATGCAAAGCAAAAAGCAGTTCACTTACAGTTATCAATAAACATACTTAGCTGTAAAGTCAGACTTGAGAGTAAATAGAGTAATTTGTTGCTTTAGCTATGTCCTGGTTTCAGCTGGGATAGAGTTAACTGTCTTCCTAGTAGCTGGTACAGTGCTATGTTTTGAGTTCAGGATGTGAAGAATGTTGATAACACTGATATTTTCAGTTGTTGCTAAGTACTGTTTAGACTAAAGTCAAGGATTTTTCAGCTTCTCCAGCAAGAAAGCTGGAGGGGCACAAGAAGTTGGCACAGGACACAGCCAGGGCACCTGACCCAAACTGGCCAACAGTGTATTCCATACCATGGGACGTCCCATCTAGTATAGGAACTGGGAAGGGGCGGGGGAATTGCCGCTCGGGGACTGACTGGGTGTCAGTTGGCAGGTGGTGAGCAATTGCCCTGCGCATCATTTGTACGTTCCAATCCTTTTATTATTGCTGTTGTCATTTTATTAGTGTTATCATTATTAGTTTTGTCTTTTCTGTTCTATTAAACTGTTCTTATCTCAACCCAGGAGTTTTACTTCTTTTCCTGATTTTTCTCCTCCATCCCACTGGATGGGGGGGAGTGAGTGAGTGGCTGCGTGGTGCTTAGTTGCTGGCTAGGGTTAAACCACGACAAGCTAGAATTTTGAAATTGAGGAAGGGGAGTATTTTCTTTAAATAGAGGTAGTTTTCTGTCTCAGGATGTATTTGCTCTGTGCAGGTACACAAAGACCATTTTTTTTTCTTTCTAACCTAATTTGGATGGGCAGAAGCCACCTCCAGTCCAGAAGTCATGTTAGTGCATTTGAGTTGATTTGTTCTGTCACGCTAACGTGCTAAAATGTGGCCTTTTTTGTAGCTCGGATGCTTAAAAGCATAGAGAGGATAAGGTTAGGTCTATCTGCAGCCATCTGCGTTAACATGTTGTTAGTTACCCTTACAGCTTAGCAAAACCAGCAAGGTTTAAAATACTGCCTCAAGTGTAGTATGAGTCTTCCCCTTAGAAAATGAATGGTATGAGGAAAGACAAATGCTGACAAATTCTCCATTGTTTCATACTTTTCTGAGAAAAAGAACCCCCAAAAGCAAGGGAGTTTTCTCCTTGTCTGCGTGTGGCTGATAAGAATTACCTGAATTTGGATGTCCTACCTGTGCACTGGTGGCTGTGCTACAAGTCCAGCTTCCAGCAGACTCTCCTGTAGTGCTCCCTCTCCTGTATCGCCTTTCTCAGCCAAATGGGATGCAATG